ATGGAGAGATTTGGCTGATAGATACACCTGCCCGGCTCTGTCTGCACGCTCCCATCCCTGAAGCTGTCCCCCACCCCCAACCCCATGGCCCCTCCCTGCTTTCTTTTACAGGATCTGCTCCTGGCCAGCGCCTAGGAATGAATATATATTGTTGAGCGCATGGATGAGGGAAGCTGTGAAATGGGTTGACAGCGCTCCTCAAAGGCTCCCCACAGGGAGCTGGCTGGTGGTGGAAAGAGACCTGGGGTGGGTTTGAGTCAGCCTGGCTCGTCTCCAGCCTCGCAGCCCAGAGGGACTGGGATCCTGGGAGAGGCCAGGGGTCCACTGCTGGGCCCCTCAGAGAAGGAGCAGGTGGCCATAGCAGGGCACCGGGTCCAAGAACCCCAGCTCTGCCATTTCCCAGCTGTGTGTCCCTGGGGTGATGACCTAACGTCTCTGAGCTGGCATCGCCTCGGCTATACATGAGGCTTCCCTGTGCAGGTATTTCACTTTTACAAGCTCCATGCCTGGCGGTTTACAATTATGAGCTCGTTTCACCTTCACCACAGCCCCATGGGACGGGGTGAGGGCGACAGCCCATTTTACAGATGGGAAACTGAGGCCCAGACAGAGAAAGTTGCTAAGGACCAGTCCCGCCTTCCCGGAGGAGGCTGTGCATAACGGGTGCCGGGCTCGTGGGCGGAAGCAGGGGCTGACGGGCTGGGGCTGAGGCTGGGAGGGTTCTGTGCTGTGGTGAAGCCTCCCTGAGCGCTTGGTCTCTGCCCAGCGCCGTTATCTCACAACATCCTCCCATGAACCCTCCCAAACACCAGCAACAGTTACCGTGACGCCCCCCCGCCATACAGACAGGAGGGTGAGGCACAGAGAGGTAGGCAGAGGCCCTTGCCCCGGGCACACAGCCTGGGCCGCCCTCAGAGCTGGGGTGCATAGGACAGGCTGGGGAAGCCACGGCCCTTCAGCCCCCTCCTCCCGCCCCCTGTGGGAGTCCCCCGCCCGAGGGCCTCATCCGACTCGCTGTCCGAGACCTCCAGGGCGGGGTTGTCCAGCAAGAGGTCCTCCTCTTCCGACAGCACGGGGCTGGGGTACGGGGCGTACGCCGGGGGGCCCAGGGTCTGCAGAAGGTCAGGGTCACCTGCCGTCCTGTGAGGGGGGGCCTGGTCTCCCTCCCTCAGCTTCCTCCTCCTGGGCCCTCCCCACTCCGTTTACAGCCTGGGTCAGCTCAGACAGCCATGGGGACGCCCGGCCACCTCCATGAAAGCCCGCGCCACACAGATGACAGCACCTGTGCTGCCCCCTGGCTCCCTCTGTCACTGGTTTTGCAGTAATGACAGCGCTCAGCCTTAAAGGGAGAAAGGGAGGGAGGGAGGGAGGTAGGGAGGGAGGGGGGAGGGGTTATAATGCATTGGCCCTAATGCAGTGCCTGGCGCCCAGCAAACCTCAATCACACGATGGGGGTGTCAGTGATCCCCCTGCCCCTCACCTGGCAGGCGAAGTCCTCCGTGGGGTATGCTGGGAAGCCAGGCGCCGGGGCCTCGAGGCTGGCGGCTGGGTTGAGGCTGCCCACGGGGCTGTAGGTGGAGGAGGGCCCATAACAGAGCTGGGCGTCCTGGGGGTGGCTGAAGGTGGCCGCAGCTGGGTCGAAGGCTTCGTAGGAGGTGGCGGGCACAGCCGGGACCTCCGTCCAGCCCCACAGGGAGTCTGGGGGAAGGGCACTGAGTCAGAAGCCGGGGGTGTGGCCTTGGCCCCCTCCCTCGGGAAGCGCCAGCACAGAGGGGCCATTGTGGGCCATGCAAATGGCTGACCCCAGGATTTGCATGGGCGAGTGGCCAGGGAGGAAAGGGAGGAGGCTGAGGGCCTGGGCTGACCTCGCCCTGCTGAGCTATGGGACCACCCCCCACCCCCGCTGGGCCTCAGCTCCCCATCCGTGAAATGGGCCTAAGGGGCGTGTGGGAGGGGTCTGGGCCGGGGTCACTCACCAGGAGCCCCCTCTGAGTCCGAGTAGCCGGGGTGCTTGCAGCTGTCCAAGTCGTAGAAGATGCCATCTGGGTACTGCTGGGGGGAGAGGGGAGGAGGGGTCAGCGGGCTGTGAGGAGCCCCCACCCCCACCCTGGACCAGCAGGGAGACGTCCACAGGGGCAGGAGAGGAGGGGAGAGGTGGGGAGAGGCCCAGACAGAGAAAGCTGCTAACGGTCAATCCCACAGACATGGGGACTCAAAGAGAGAGAAGCACAGAGAGAGAAAGAGACAGGCAGACAGAGACCTGGCGCCAGAGACGGGCAAAGAGAGAGAGACGCACAGAGATACAGAGACAGGAGACAGACACAACACGGCAGAGGCACGAAGGCCCGGAGAGAGACACGCCGAGAACGAGAGCGCGGCCGCTCCTGCTGAGCCGTGGGCCGCCAGGAGCCCCTCGCGTCGCGGTGCTCAGTCACCATCACGAGAATTCCCCCGGCCTCGTCTGCCTGGGTGGCGGGGTGAAGGGTGGGAGCTCTTTTCTGGTCTCAGTGCTGCCTTTACCCACCTCCGCGTTATTGCTTCCATTCATCTCAAGAATCGTCTCACTTTAGCAATTAAAGACCAAAGCAGGAAACAGACCATCTCCATGCCAGCGACCTCACGCCTGGATTTGCCCAGGAAAACGTCTGTCCACTAAACAGCCTTGCCCAGGAAGACCCAGAGCAGCCTCATTAAAAGCACCAAAGGGGAGCCCTAACTGGTTGGGCTCAGTGGATAGAGCGTCGGCCTGCAGACTGAAGGGTTCCAGGTTCGATTCCGGTCAAGGGCATGTACCTTGGTTGTGGGCACATCCCCAGTGGGGAGTGTGCAGGAGGCAGTTGATGGATGTTTCTCTCTCATCGATGTTTCTAACTCTCTATCCCTCTCCCTTCCTCTCTGTAAAAAATCAATAAAATGTATTTAAAAAAAACACCAAAGGGGAGACAGCCCCAGTGGCCATGGACGGGGGAATGGACACAGGAGGTGGTAGGGGGTGAGTACTATACAGCAAGGAAAAAGCCGGCACCTGACACGCACTTGATGTTGAGCAAAGGAAGCCAGACCCCAAAGGGCACACTCTGTGATTCACTCTATGGAAAGTTCAAAACCAGGCAAAACGAATTCGTGGTGGAAACGTCGGAGGGGGTATCGAGGGAGCAGGCCGCGGGGAATTCCCGGGTGACGGAGCGCGTCTCGGCTGCTTAGTGGTCGCGCAGGTGTGTGCCCGGGTCAGCCCTCACTGCGCGGCACACAAGATGTGTCATTTGCCCGACGTAAGTTATGCCTCCATTTTTTTTCAAAAGAGCAAAACTCGTCATGTGGGGGAGGGAGGGGCCCCAGAGGGGGTGTCTTTCGGGGCCATGAGTAAGGCTGTATTTCTCGGACGTGACTGCGGGTTTTAGGTCAAGTATCGTGTGTCTCATCTATGACAGGCTACATTTTTGAAAATATACAGCAGAGAAGAGAAGGGAAGAGGGAGGAATAGATTTGCTGACTGTGGGCTGGACAGAGAACGAGATAGAAAGGCAAAGATACAAAGAACGCCCT